TGGAGTGCACACAACACACTGAATTTCGGAAAAAATCTTGCATTATTTACAGCAGCAGAATACCACAGAAATATCAGACGAAACATGGAAACACTATATATATGTATTTCGGCCTGAACCCTCTCTATTGCAATTCCAGGAATTATCCCCATATGTGCAACCATTTTCCACCTTGGTACCACCTAAGCCTGAAAACAAAATCTTAATACCACGCTGAAGCGTTTGGTAATAATGACCGAACAATATCATGATAATAACAAGTAACCTGTAGAATACTGTGTGGATAATATTTTTTATATTGATTTTTGTTGCATTTGCAGCAAATAGTTACCAAACAATGAGAAATCTATAGGATTGAATATACCCCACAGCTGGCTTCACATGCATTGTTCATAGTTCATATGGTGCTTACACCAGGATTTAATTACAGCACCTAGGCGGTATGTGGTTACAGCTTAATGTTCGAGTAATCGCAAGAAATTGACATGACAATAGAAATTCATTAAAGACTGCCACTCCCATGCAATTAACAGCGAGTGAAATTCCTGGGATTGAAACATATATTTTGAAGTCACTGATGTGTCACCAATCTGATGTGGTACCCGCATACACGTATGACATGACAATGGCATTCAATTGTCTATGTCAATACGTGTTAATTTTCCCATGCTTATTACTTTAATGTTCACATTCCTACACCTATATGTAATATCTAATGTATTGTTTAAAGCCTAAACCATATTAACACTTTTATACACGCCGTGTCAAACGTCACCATGACTGTCTAGCACTCCTTAATTGGCATGTTAGTAAGTTCTAACCAATCACGTTGACTTGTGCTAGGCGTCGTAGTGACGTCACGATATCACGTGGTTTCACTTATAAATAGGGGGAGCTGAGGTTATACGGGAGCTGAGGTTATACGGGAGGTCTGTCTCTAGGCGTGGCTGTAAAGCTATCGCCTGGAAACCAAGTTTACACTTCACTGTATTATCACTGTATCTGATGTCTCCACGAATAAATATCCTGATTATATCACCACTACCCTCCAACAGTTCAAAATATGAGTCTGTTACATGGTGGAGAATCTGGTATGGTAGTCCCTATGAGCGCGGGGGGGGGGTATCGGCTGGTAGCTAGTGTAAAATATAGACAAGGGATGAAGGCTCCAGTAAGCTCATATTTTTTAAACTTAAAAAAACAAACAAAAAAAAAATGAAAAATAAAATCTGTAAAATATACTAGCTTGAACAATATTAGTTGCTCTTTCAAATTTCGCCAAAGACTTACTTTTATTTTACCGATATCACTAGAGTAAATGAATAAAACTACAAAAAATGATTTCATTTACGAACAATTCACGGTTACACAGAAATCACGGCACAGTTGGAGGCGTGGCCTGTTCAGAATTTGTCAAGAACCAATCACAAGACTGGTTACGAAACACACCGAGTTTACGACTTGGTTAAATACCCCCCCGTACTTTCTTTCCAGTCCCTAAGGTTATGTTGTGTTCAGCTTACCCGGTGTACTAGAACTATAAAGCTCCCTCTCACGGACTATTTATCATTTTATGCACGACAGGCGGGCTTTGATTTGTACTGAGTACTAACTGGTTTAATAGATTTACAGCCGATTTTGACTCACAAGCCCAAGACATAACCTTCACCCTCAGAGGCTTCCCACATGACGTCACGAAACACGTGATCCGCCATCTTGGAGTACAAACGCAATCATGGAAACCATGACAACAATACACTGTCAGCTTGATATCCTGTGGTTTGTCCATGTTTTGTGCGGAATAATGGTGAATTTCTGTGCTATTGTCAACTGCAGCAACCGCGGAAATCGAGACAATGATAAATCATTCTTCAGGCTACCGACAGTTATTCGTAATCAGGGTGAAAAGACTGAAGA